TGTTTGGGTTTTTGCCATTGAGTTGTATGAGTTCTTTACGCATTTTGGATATTAACCCCTTATCAGGTATAAGCTTTGCAAATGTTTTCTCCCAATTGGCAGGTTGCCTTTTCATTTTGTTGTTCAAGCTGCTCAGTCTGTAGTACCTTGTCATGGCAGCCTGAGCAAACTAATATATTGACATTTAACTTCAATGTATTTCCAGGGAATTACGCTGAATGAAAAAAGCCAATCTGAAAGGTTAAATACTGTATGATCTCATTTACATTTCATTCTTGAAATTACAAAATACAGTTGACCCTTGAACAACATGTCTCTGAACTCTGTGTGTCCACTTATAGGTGGATTTTTTTCAGTAGTAAATTAACTACAGTACTACATGACCTGAGGTTAGGTGAAGCCTCAGATGCGGAACTACAAAAATGGAGGAACCGCATACAGGGAGGGCCAACCATAAGTAATATGTGGACTGTCGACTATGTAGAGGGTTGGTGCCCCTAACCTCAACGTTGTTCAAGGGTCAACTGTATGTCACACTATCACTGAGTTAAAGAGCTTATGAAATGCCCACGTACAGCCCAGCTGGTCTACTGCTACTGTCAAGATAATACTTGAAAAGATAAGATTTTAATCACTGGTCATCTTTGGAGGATATTACAGAACAAACTCATTAGTTTGAAAACTAGTCCGTAAAAGCAAAGAATGAAGCACTTGTCCTACCTTTCCTGAAAGAACTTCAGAATAAGAATAATTGATAGAGGATAGTTTCTCTTTACAGAAGAATTACAACTAATTGAAAAAAGAAAGATACAGTTACCACTTCATCTAATGGATCCAGTCATTAATAACAGTTTACATCAAAAAAAAAAGAGAGAGAGAGAGAAAGATAATAAGACATTATATGCCTACTAACGGGCATACACAACACCTCTGAAGCATTTCTTACAGAAAATATCAAACCAGGATCTGACCAGGCCTCTAGATCCATTTCTAGGAAATACAGAGAATTAGACAAATATGTTAAACAATGAAGAAGATGCAATCTGTAAAATACACACAGTAGGAAACTCCACAGGATAAACAATCCAGTTTCCCCAACTAATAAACAATAAGAAAAGAGAAGGAAAGTGTGAGGAAAGGAAGAGGTAAAAACCTACAGGTTAAAAGAGATTTAAGACACAAATCAACCACTCACTCTGTATAGACCTTGTTTAATTCCTGATTAGAACAGATTGGAAAAAAAAAGAATTTATGAAATAATCAAGAAATTCTGAACACTGGACATTTGATATTAAGGAACTTTCATTAATTTTGTTAGGTGTGATGAACTGTGTTCATTTTTTTTAAGAGTTCTTATTTTTCCACATACATGCTGAAATATGTATGGATGAAACATCAAATCTGGGATACACTTTAAAATAATCTGGGGTCACAAAACAAAATGCCTCTATCAAAGGTAATAAATTTCAAAGTTCTTGGATGTATACACACACAAAACATATGTGTGTGTACATAAATATAGAAAAACCCTAATATATGCAAATATATGCAAAACCCTAAGAGGTTGACATCTAGACATTATTTCTGCTTTACACATTAGCAAACTGAGACCGGAGCACTAACCAATTTGCCTAAAATCATATAGCTACACTACGACTACATAGTTTTTTGCCTTGAGGTCCAGGCCTCTTCCATTCTACCACACCGCCATTCAAGACGCAGAAAGAAAACCAAAACTCCAACAACTGATTTACCGTAAGTCACAGTACAAAAAGCACTCCTGGCCAATTTCTTGATGAAAAGTTCCTTATTTTATTCATATTCTATAAGTAGCAAGAACGCAATCTAAATTTATGACAGCAATCACATATTACACACTCATTAAACATTTATACAAAAAGGAGAAATTTCTAGACAAACTACCACAAACCTTTCTTTTAAAAGGATTAATTTATACTTTCATGTATGCATAAACAACTTTTCTGACTCAAAAACTGAGTAATGTGAATGTTAGGAAAAGTACATCAAAATCACTACAAATCCATTAAAAAATTCAACCATTTTTACTGATTCTCAAGTTCTTCTAAAAAATTATATTAATACAAGATTTTCTGCAGTAGTTCTTAAGTCAAATAATTCTACTTGCACAACCTCATATAGGCACTCATTTACACTAGTAAGTGTTTCATATGAATTTAATCCACAAAATAACTCCAAGATCCAGAAATTATTGTTAGTCCCATTTTCAAATAAGAAAACCAAGGTTTTAAGATTTTAAGTAACTTGTTTAAGATCATGGAGCCAGTAAATGGTAGATCTGAGACTTGAGTCAGTCCAGTCTGATGACAAACCCTTGCTCTTAAGCCACCCCCTATTCCAATAAACATTATCTATTTTCAGTTGCCAAAAGGTGCCTGAGTTACCACATTTCTCTTCTTGTTTCAAAGAAGATAGCCAATTGCAACTAGAATAGATGCATCAGAAACAGGTTCATTTTGTCATTCATTCGCTTCTCAGCACACAGTGTCACATTCTCCCTTAGAAATTATTGTATAGTAGAAAGTTAAATGATCAGGCCAACCCTCAAAAATGAAACTATCACTTAAAATAATGTCTGTGTAAAAGTCTGGGGAACTGTAACAGGACAATACAACATCATCCTGTCGTACCCAACAAAAAGATACCCCAAATCCCAAAGGTAATATGAAATTCCTTTCTTGTCTTCCTCAGCACCCAGTCAGGAACGATTTACATATCCCAGTCCCCATCGTGAGCTCCATCAAAAGACAAGTTTTAAACTGTGCCAGTTTCCATGGAAGGTAGGGACAAAGCCAGGAGAAGAAAAGGGTAGGATATAAAAGCAGCAACATGTATTTATATATGTACTCAAGTCTGAAGCCCAAAACTATTATTGCTATAGTTCAATTAAAAAAAAAAATTTGTGTGAACTAGCCTGGAAACCTAAGAAATTTGAAACACAGCCCACTTAAAACTTGCAAACTACCTATATTCACCAATACTCTATATAATCAACTACCCCTTCCTAACTTTCTGAAAACTAAAAGCCTAGTGTTTATGCAACAGAAGAAAGTGAAGGAGTTATGATTCTCTTTAACTGCATATGCACAAGAAGAGCTTTGTACATAAAACACCCAAATCAGTGGAAATATATATTAGATACTTTGAGGTGATTCTTTTTAGTGAGGAGTTCTAGAGCATGTTCAGATCTTCAGAATTGTGAGATTCATTTTCTTTTTTTTTTATTACCAGATACTATGGACTGAATGTGTGTGTCCCCCCCCCCAAAATTCATATGCTGAAAACCTATGTGAGCCCAATGTGATGATGATGTTAGGAGATAGGGCCTTTAGGAGGTGGTTAGGTTAGGAGGGCAGAGCTCTCATGAATGGGACTGGTGCCTTTATTTAGAGGCTAGCAAAAACTCCCAACCCTTCTGCCAAGTGAGGCCAGTGACAAGGCACTATCTATGAATCAGGAAGTGGACCCCAGACACAGAATCAGCCAGCATTATGATCTTGAACTTCTCAGCCTCCAGAACAGCAAGAAATAAATTTCTATCGTTTATAAGCTACCCAGTTCATGGTACTTTGTTACAATAATCCGAATAAACTAAGACACCAGAGATTTTTTTTTAATGGTTTTAAATAGTTATTTGTATGGGATGTACATAAACATATTTTGTTGTGTTGATGTGATCAGTAAAAACAGATAAATGTGTACTCTAATACAATGCTGATGAGAAAGTAAACTCATTAAAAGTGTCTGGAGCTCAATGTAGCAATAATTATCAAGAGTTTTACACATGTTCATAGCTTTTGACTCAGTGATTCAACTTGTAACAATGTCTTCTAATAATCAGAGATTCCTTCACTAATTTAACAAATCATCAAGGACTTATTTTGCACTAGGCATCATTCTTATGAATAAGGATGTTTATCACATTATTTTATAGCTCCAAAAACTTGGGGGGGAAAGGCCCAATAACAGTAAGAGTTCACAAATTAAAATACATCTAATACATAAAACATTACACTACCACTAGAAACTACATTATCAAATATCAAAAAATATGTAATAGCATAAGAAAATGCTCATATGTTAAGAAAAAATTTTCTAAAAACTACATGTAACTACATGTAACCACATGTAACCATATAACTATATAATCCCAAATCTATGTTTTAGGTCTTATTAGTCAGGGTTCTTGGTTAGGTTATTTAACCTCACTCTACTTCAGTGTTTTCATCTGTAAACTGAAGGCTTTACACTTTATGTGTAAAATAAAGATTTTATTTTTATATTTCATATATTTCAATGGAGGGTTAAATGAGTTATTTGTAAAGTGCTTACAATATTCTCCCAGTACATATAAAGCACCAGTAATTCTTTCCTGGCAGTCTTACTGTTGTTATTATATATATACATATACATATGAAAAGAAAAAAACTGGGGGCAGTAGAGGGATAGCTCAAGTGGTAGAGTACATGCCTAGCATGCATGAGGTCTCAGGTTCAATTCCCAATACCTCCATTTAAATAAATAAATAAAACCTAATGACCTCCCCCGCCAAAGAAAAATAACTAAAAAAAAATTTTTTAATGGAAGAAATATATCAAAATATTATCAAAGATCTTAAATTCTAACAAAACTAATTCTAAGGCAATCAGGAAACTTGAACACTGACTACATAATATGAGATATTAAAAATTATTTTATGAGGTATGGCTTTGTTTTTTAAAAAGTATAGCATAGAGAAATATTTACAAAAAACTATACCTAAGATTTGCTTTAAAATACTTTGGTGGGGGGCTTACATGGGGAGTTTTAAAAATTATTAATGCTGTCAGAAGTAAATTAGGTAATAGAATTACTACTAGCTTTGCTTTATATTTTTCTATTTTCCAAATTTTCTACAGTGATTCAAAATTATTTTTAAAATGAGAAAAATGTTTTCAAAAAAATTTTAAGACAATTCTTACCAATACTCCATCCACAGATGAAACTTTCTCCCAAGTTAACCAAGCTCTTTCTCTGACATGATCTGGTACCTTTAATTTCTGACATAATGCAGTAAAATCAGGTTCTTCAGTTTCTTCAAACTCAAGTCTACCAAATGAAAACATAAAGGCACATACTTTTAATCAAATTAAGTAAACATTTATTTCAATGGTTTGCATATAATAGCACTATTCTAAAAGACAGCATCACTAAATATTTTAGGGTCTGATTTATTTTTGAAAAACATTACACTTGGAATTTAAACATACGCTTATCTTTTTCAGTCTCTCCAAAAGAAGAACACCACACAGTGAAAAATGTTGGCTGGACTGGTGAATCACATATACTTCAGGGCAGCAAGATAGCTTTGTGAAGGAAGGTAAGTATAACAGCTAAAGCTGTTTGGGAAAACTGGGACAACAATAGCAAGAGGAAAGCCATAGATAATATTATGGAATCAACTCAGTATCAATGACTTTGCTAAAATGCAGCCTACTCTTATCAATGTTTCATTTACTCTCTCTACCTACTAGTATTTCTTACATGCTGATTAAATTATTGCTATGCTTATTTCAGCCTTTTCTTCTTGATCTTGCTTAACCAAAACAGGCAGTCAAAAAATTCTTGGCTAATTCTTCTGCATTCACTTAATGTCTATTTGACATCTAATAATAATAATAATAACATGAGGAATAGCTAATAATTTTTTAGTATTTACTGTGACCCCATACAAAGTACCTTAAACATGTGGTTTCACGGAATCCCCACATCAGCCCTATTAGTTAAGGACTCTTGCTATCCTTGCTTTACAGATAAGTACCAAGTAAGAGATGTGAAAGCATTCACCTGAGATCTCAGCCAGTAAGTGGAAAACCCTGATACAAGCCTGAGAGTCTATAATCCATGCCCTTGACCACTATTCCAGACTGCTCACCCACCTTTGAAACGTAATTAACTTTTGGTTATCTTGAGAATGAAGATTGTGTGCTGTTCATAGTGATAGTTTTCCTTAAGAACTACATCACTTAAGCCAGAGATAATACAATAGAAAAAAGACCTCAACTCTCAAGATAGACATGGGCTCTGCCACCGGAAATGCAGCTGAAATGAGCCCTGAATTCATCCCTAAGTTTCTCAACTTCAGATTACCAGGCAGTCGTTCTATCCTTGCTAAGCAGTTAACAGAGTTTAATTGCCCATGCTAATGAAAGCTTTTGTGGATAAGGATAATCAAGAGAAGACTGTATCTTGTATAGTTTTGACTTACAGGAGAATTTCTGATAGTTTCATCGTTTAAAGGTATATAAAATAATACACTGAAAAATAAAAGAAACAAAGTCCTCCTTTTCCCAGGTGATGGCCAGAACATCAATACTTCTGGTTATCCTAACAAAACCAAGGATATTTCCAAGCTCTGTGGATAACATGGACTTCTTTACCATAGACTTCACTGCTCTTTCTAAAAGGAAACTTTCAAATACTGGATATATCCGAGTTTAATCAGAAATTATCATCTTCTCCCAGCTTATCAGTGGACTTTTTCTAAACTAGTGAATATGATTTTTAATTGATCCATAAGACAGTCTATTTAAATATATGAACTTTCAATAGTCTTTCACAAGCCATTTCCAAAAGCTCATTCCAATCTTTAACAAATTGTCCTGAATTCTGTTAGTGTCTGGGAGTTAAAAGAAATAGGATTTGCTTATGGGCTAGAACTGTGGGAGGGAGTGGTGAGGAACAGAAAGGAGTCCCATTCCCCTGCAACTGATACGCAGTCTCAAAGCAGGGCCAGTGCTGACAATAATAATGACAATTATACTCTTTCCATCTTAGCTTCTAAACCTAAAGCATCACAATCAAGAAAAATAAGCTGTTGCAATAAAATAACTCCTTGGCATGTTCTACTGCATCATCAAGGACTTGTTTAAATTTAGATTCCACTTAGGCAGAAAAAAGTTCCATATGAGCACAAAAGCACTAATTTTGTACCTAAACAAAAGAGAGGGACAGCGGGATCCTTGCTATCTCAAGCCAAAAGGCAAAATGGAAGAAATATTGAGTCAGGCTGAAGACAACATGGAAGAAAATTTTAACACAACAACAACAAAAAGGAAAAATTTAGAAACTTTTAAGCTTTGGGGCTAAATATCTCACAAAACTGTTGCCCTTACATCAATTCCTCTAAAGAGTTACGTTCCACCACTCATTACCGATGACTCAAAATCTCCAAGAACTCAAAGCACTCTTATGAGGGAACCCCACAAAACCCTCAGCCGACTCCCCTGGGGGCAAATGACACCCAGGACCCTGCACTTCACGTTCGATGGCATCTCTGCAGCAGCGTCCAAGGCTTTTCTGGTTGGCCTCCCCCAGACTGGGCTTCAGATGCACGCCCAGAGGAAAACACTTCCAACTGTTGCATCGCAGGAAACCAAAACAGAAAGTCAAACGACCACCGAAGGACTACAAATCTTAACAGGATAAAAACCTCTCCAGCCGACACGAGTTAGTCTTTTTGTTTGTTTGTTTGCAGGCAATGGGGTCTCTCGAAATTACCCGCCGCCTGAGAGCCTCCCGTATCGCAGAGGAAAGGCGGCACCTGTCACTTCGCTCAGCGACCCGAGCCCCACCCGCCCGACACCTGTCAAGCTGGAGCCAAGACCCCTCCGCGCCGCCCTCCCCTCGCTCCCGAACCCAGACCCCTGTCAGCTTCCTCCGGGCGCTCCGCGGCGGTGGGGGCCAGAGAGGGACCCTCCTCCCGCCGGGACCCGGCCCCGGGAGGAGACGC